TATATAGATATATATATATGCAGAATAAAAATATATTTTAAGTAATATTAAAAATAAGAATATACACCACAATACAGTGTTGCATTCTGAATCATATTTTGAATTTTTTGCTATTTTTGTCTACATTTGACACAGATTGTCAGATCATTAATTAGAACTTCAACAAGTGAATGTATTTTAGCCATCTTGGAGACATCTTCCTCATTTAGACAATCAAACAATGATCATTTATAAATCATCTGATGTTAAACTCAGTTGGGAACATTACAAAGATGGAGAAGGCCATACACACGGAGCTCCAAAGACCTGTGGTTACGTCAAGGAAAATTTAAGTACGGTGTTATCACACAATATAAATAATATATATATATTCTCTTTTGTGCTTTATAAAATTATTTCTAATTCTGTGACATTAATATTATGCACACTTTCTGGCATAGATTATACACTAAATGACGAGGACGACTCTGAGGAAAATGACAGCACAAAAAAGGATGACAGCAGAAGCAGGCTAAAAAGGCAAACAGAAACTTATGATTATGCACCAACAAAAACAAGATGCCCATTATTACTGGTTGCCGATTATCGATTTTATCAAGAAATGGGTGCCAGCAGTACAAAAACTACAATTAATTATTTGGTATATCTGAGCTTAATAGTATACAGTTGTTTATGTACATTGATTTGCAATTGTAATAATATTAATTTATTGCAGATAAGTTTGATTGATAGAGTACATAAGATCTACAATGACACTTTATGGATGGAACATAAAGAGGAAGATGGTTTCAAAGGAATGGGTTTTGTTATTAAAAAGATCGTTGTTCATAGTGAACCGACACGAGTGAGAGGTGGCGAAACACATTATAATATGATTCGCGAGAAATGGGATGTTCGTACATTGCTCGAGGTTATTATTTATATTAAAGAGTATTCCTTATTTTTAAAATTAAATATATCGTTTATTATTATATAATGTGTTAATGCAGGTGTTTAGTCGAGAATATAGCCATAAGGACTTTTGTTTGGCTCACCTATTTACCGATCTTAAGTTTGAAGGTGGTATTCTTGGATTGGCTTATGTAGGATCTCCTCGTAGAAATTCAGTGGGTGGTATATGTACACCAGGTCTGTATTTTAAAAAAGTATATTATGAATGTAATTAAATATTGTATAACAACAAAATATAATGCGACATTTATAAAATATTATCTTTTTCTCTCTCACAACACAACATAAATTATCAGAAAATTTATTCTCTTACAGAGTATTTCAAAAACGGATATACATTATATCTGAACTCGGGCCTAAGCTCCAGCAGAAACCATTATGGGCAGAGAGTAATTACAAGAGAAGCCGATTTGGTTACAGCACATGAATTTGGTCATAATTGGGGTTCTGAACATGATCCAGATGTTTCGGTAAATTATAGTTTAGATATTATTGTATATATCACAATTCCTTGAGGAAAGTGAAGATATTTGTACAAAAATATGTTATATATTCCCTTTGTTCATGAATTGTTGAAACTTGTACCGACATCCACTTTGTTCTGCAACAAATTTTATTTTTGTTCTGTTTCTTTGCAAGATTGGCATTTAATCTTTCGACATTATTGATTATAGAGTTGCAGTCCAAGTGCAAGTCAAGGTGGATCTTACTTGATGTATACTTACAGTGTTAGTGGTTATGATGTAAATAATAAGGTAAAGTATATATTCTATTAACACACACATTTCAATTTTTATCACAATATGATAAATTGAATATTCTAATGCATGTTTCTTGAGTGAGGTATTAATATAGATTACTTTTTTTGCTGTAGAGTCGTTCTTATATACATATATATATATTTTTTTTTTCCCATGTGTAGAGATTTTCGCCATGCAGTTTACGATCTATCAGGAAGGTCTTGTTAGCCAAATCTGGACGTTGTTTCTCAGAGCCAGAAGAATCGTTCTGCGGAAATTTGAGAGTCGAGGGCGACGAGGAATGCGACGCAGGTCTCTTGGGAACGGAAGATAATGATCCATGTTGTGACAAAAATTGCAAACTTCGAAGTAATCAAGGAGCGGTTTGTAGGTAACGTATACAATTACATCTCTATTTTTTCTACGATTTTACGATGAAAATCTTTAAACTATTTATATTCAGCAATGCAAAATGTTCATTTTATTTCTTTCAACAGTGACAAAAATTCCCCGTGCTGTCAAAGTTGCGCATATATGCCTGCAAGCGTGAAATGTCGCGATGCGCAATACGCCACTTGCGAACAAGAATCGCGTTGCACCGGAGCATCCAGCGAATGTCCAAGATCTCCGGCCATGATGGATGGTACTAGTTGTCTTGAACGTGGTCAATGCCGCGGAGGCAAATGTGTGCCATACTGCGAGACTCAAAATTTACAAAGTTGCATGTGTGACACAAGTATGTACTTTATCTTAATTTCTTATCTTAATTTCTTGTCAATAGGAACGATAAATGGCAGGAGAATTTTATCACGCTTATGTATCATTTTCTCATATCATATACAAGAAAAAAACTAAAATTTGTATTTTATAATTTAGTTTTACAAATTTGCAATTTATTTATGAGTAGTAGGCGATGGAGTAGTCTATTATTATGTGCAATATGGAACCAATTGCTACTTTCTGATCTTTCGATTCTATATTGCAATGCTTACTCTTTTTTTATCAGAATTAAAGAAAATTTGAAATATTATTTTATAAAGATATTTATAACTCTCATAAGAAGATGAAAAGTTTATCTTCAGCACTTTAAAATTGGTTATACATTACACAACTAATATGTTACATAATTAGTTATGTTATATACTGACAATATGCACTTGTATGTTGAAAGATATATATTGTTATTAATATTATAGTTACATGAAATTTTTGATTAACAGTTGGCGATGCATGTAAAAGATGCTGTAGAATGAGTTTGAATGAAACATGTTTTCCGATAGACCCACCAGACATTTTACCCGATGGGACGCCATGTATTCAAGGTTTTTGCAATCAGGTAAGACGATATTACAGGACTTTTTTTAATAAGAACTTTAATTGATTCTAATATATATACATTCGTTTAGGGCGCGTGCGAGAAAACAATTCAAGATGTAGTAGAACGATTTTGGGACATTATTGAGGATATAAATATCAATAAAGTTATGCGTTTTCTAAAAGATAATATAGTGGGTGCTGTAATAATCATTACTACTATCATATGGATACCAGCGAGCTGCGTTATCAGTTACATCGATCACAGACGTGTTAAAGAAAGCGAGAAGAAATGGCGATGGAAACATACGGACGAACTTATTCATCCGGACGAGCCAAGACAAGTAATTTACATTGGCGGTCAGCGACAAAGAGTACATGTTATGCATCAATCCTAAATCATGAATTTAGATTGTTTGCATTGTATTACGTATTTTATCTTCTAGTCAAGAAAATTCATATAGAGAATGTGATATTGGTCTAAAATAACTAAATATTATATTCTTTTTTTTTTTAATATTATGTATATAATTTTTACATAATTACTGTGAAATTTTAAATGAATTGTGTGATTGAACACAGCAAATGATACATTGCTATAGCGGAAAGGAATTAATTTATTTTTTTTTAATATTGGATACTAATTGTTTTTAAAGTATCATCTTCCAGCTGCTAGTACTTATTACTATCTAATCGCTACTTAATTAGAGTATTATTGTTATTTTACATTAAAATTTTATATAATTTTATATAATTTTAAAATAAATGAAAAACTTAGAAAATTTTTCTTTATAATAGTTATATAATGATTTACTTTCATAAAAAAGAATAACATTTTTATATGAAAATATTTTAATAATTTATATAATTTATATAATATATAATTATATAATATAGTCTCTAAAAATTATGTTATAATATCTAAATTGTTAATTATATAAGATTGTTTTTATCGCTTTTTCCAAATCTCTATTTTAGTACATATCTGATTATTAGTTATATGATAACAATAATTAATTTTTTTGATATCTATTTCTTTATTGTTTTCACTTTGACCTGAAAATTTTATAAAAACTTATATGAAGGAATAATAATATTTAATGATAAAACACATAATTAAAAGATAAAGTAAAGTTAGAGTAAATAAATAATCAAACACTAATTTAATTTCATTTAAATTAGTACTTATTCCTAATATGTATTATTAAGAAAATAAAATTTGTTTTTCTATTTTCATGCATTATATATTGTATTTCTGTTCTATCTCTATTATTATACAAAATATACCCAAAATGACATTTTTTATTTCTATCTTAACTTTTATTTAAAATGTGGAAAAAGATCATATTTAAAAATTTAAAAGTTTACACATTACTTCAAACCGTATTCTTCTAATATCGAGAAATACTTGAAGTTTAAATTAGCGACTTGCTTTGATTATCTTTTCCAAATCATGTGTTTTCTTGATGTTGAAGCTTGAGAAAAGATACAATTCTCGAAATTCTAATTTATTCGGCTTGTTTTCCCTTTTGTCAAAACATATTTTCTTAATACTGTGCCCGTAACATCGGCAGCGCGCACTTTCTCGGATTCTCGTATTCCGCGCAGACAAAAATAGCACGATAAATTACCCATCTTTCGTTACGCATTTTATTTTCGGAAATCAGAATATATAATAAATATTTTAAAAATTATATTTATATGTTTCTTTAGGGCTCGAATTTCGAACATGACCAACGCGAGAATGAGAATGGACTGCTACGTGCAAAAAAACACGAGGTGTGAAATTCGTGTTAAGAGAAAAAGAATTAAAACGAAATGTGTTGTAAATTGAGAAAGGTCGAAGGTTCCGAGAACTACTCGTTGAGGCTTGGAATTTATTATTATTCGATTTGGTCGTATTTATATTTATCATCGCATTCAAAAGCATGCTCTTTACTTGAGAATCATCAATTGCATAAAATATCTCGCAAAAAAAATGAATGATAAAATTTGTTTAATTTATTTGTAATTTAGTAATATATATATATATATATATATATATGTATACTTTGTTTTGCATTTTTGAGATATGATTTTTAGCGTAATCTTGATATGAATCAGGTACGATCAGGTAGCAATGGTCACAATATAATTAATATCAGTTAATATAGTAGTGAATACATTGAATACCTTTGAGGGTGCGTTCGTAAATTCCATCCGTGAGATAAGGCGACGTTTAGGGCCACTTCGACCAAACTTCGATTAATTTAATTGATGTCCGATATCCAATAGGAGAATTCCCAGCCATTTAGATAGAAGAAGAAGAAGAAGAAGAATAGGAGAATTCGTTTTTAAAACGAATCGATTAAAGCCCGTATCAGACTACGTATTGAAGATTGTAATTTGACCAATCAGAATAAAAGGAACTAAAATTTCCTTGTCCTGATTGGTCAAATTTCAATCTCAATACATAGTCTGACACGGGCTGAAGGTTGCGTTTCGATATTTCGATATTCACTGCCAGTACTGAAAATCTATAGTGTACGTGACGTAAACTATAAATTTTCAGTACTGGCGGTAAATATCGAAACGCAGCCTAAATTAATCAGAATTTGGTCGAAGTGGCCCTTAATTAACCAATCAGAAGAAAAGTAGCAAAGATTTCTTTGGTTAATTAAATGCTACTTTACTTCATAGATGGGATCATTGAACGCATCCTGACCTGATGATCGAAATATTTGCGCATGCGCGCGAAAATCTCGTGCAGAGGGATTTGTTAACTTCGTATCACTTAATCACATCCGTATTCTTCTCTGAATTATTGTACGTGCTGGTAGTACTGCGTCTCATGAGGGACGAAAATTCATCAAGAATAAAGAAGAAGATTATACGTGCTGCTCGTAATAATGTCCAAAGAAGAAATGGAAAATCTTACGCGTCGCCCCAACAAAAACTGCTCCGAATTAGATTGTCCGTTGAGATTGCCGGAGACCATCAATTTCGCGGCAGAGGAAGAGAAGATACTAAAAAAATGGGAGGAAGAGAAAACGTTTGAAAAGAGCGTGCAGTTATCGCAAAACAAGCCTAAATATGTGTTTTACGATGGACCGCCATTCGCCACCGGTTTACCGCATTACGGGCACATTCTTGCCGGCAACATAAAGGACATTGTGACGAGGTACGCGTATCAGCTCGGCTTCCACGTGGAACGTAAATTCGGTTGGGATTGTCATGGATTACCAGTGGAGAATGAGATAGACAAAGAATATAATATCAAGGGACCTGATGACGTGGCTAAAATGGGCATCAAAGAATACAATCTCAAGTGCCGTAAAATCGTGATGAGATATTCGAACGAGTGGGAAAAGATCACTGGACGAATGGGCAGATGGATGGACTTCCGTAAAGACTACAAAACCATGTATCCATGGTACATGGAGTCTATTTGGTACATCTTTAAGCAATTATATAATAAAGGTCTCATTTATAAAAGCTTTAAGGTGATGCCTTATTCTACTGCTTGTAATACAGTGTTGTCAAACTTCGAAGCTGGTCAGAATTACAAAGATGTTGTTGATCCATCTGTAGTGGTGGCCTTTCCTTTGCTTGATGAGCCAGGTGTGTCCCTGTTGGCTTGGACAACCACCCCTTGGACATTACCTAGTAACTTGGCCCTGTGTGTCAATCCTACCTTTGAATATGTAGAAGTTAAGGATAACGCTTCCGGTAATGTTTACATCATGTTAGAGACTCAATTAAAGCTTGTTTTCAAATCCCCAGATCTTTATACTATACAAGGTAAGAGAAAGGGCGTGGATCTGAAAGGAAAGGAATATGAGCCACTATTTCCATATTTCATGCATTGTAAAGAGAAAGGTGCTTTCAAAGTATTGAATGATACTTATGTTACATCGGAGACGGGAACTGGTATCGTCCATCAAGCTCCATTCTTTGGTGAAGACGATTATCGATGTTGTCTAGAAGCCGGTATAATAAAGAGAGAACAGAAGGTTATATGTCCTGTGGATAGCTGTGGTCGTTTCATAGAGCCGGTCCGCGATTTTCTCGGCATGTACATCAAGGATGCAGACAAGGAAATAATCAAATATCTCAAAGCTAACAAGAAATTGATCGTTAATAGTACAATAAAACACAGTTATCCGTTCTGCTGGAGAACCGACACACCACTTGTGTATAAAGCTGTACCATCTTGGTTCCTCAAGGTAGAGTTGATCAAGGACAAGCTATTGATGGCAAACAGTGCAACTTATTGGGTACCAAATTATGTGAAGGAGAAACGATTCGGCAATTGGCTGCGTGATGCCCGTGACTGGGCTATCAGCAGAAATCGCTACTGGGGCAACCCCATACCATTGTGGATCTCCGATGACCAGGAAGAAATCGTGTGTGTAGGCAGCATTAAGGAGCTGGAGGAATTGACGGGCACAAAAATAGAGGACCTTCATCGAGAGAGCATTGACCATTTGGAGATACCGTCGCAACGTCCTGGGCATCCGCCGTTGCGTCGCATCCCCGAGGTCTTCGACTGCTGGTTCGAGTCCGGTTCCATGCCGTATGCACAGAAGCATTATCCGTTCGACCAGAGGGAAGATTTCGAAAAACATTTCCCGGCAGACTTCATCGCCGAGGGGATCGATCAGACGCGCGGATGGTTCTACACACTTCTGGTAATATCCACCGCGCTGTTCGGTAAGGCGCCGTACAAGAATCTCATCGCCAACGGTTTGGTCCTCGCGGCCGACGGCCAGAAGATGTCGAAACGCAAAAAGAATTATCCCGATCCCATGGCCGTAATCAATAAATACGGAGCGGATGCCCTACGACTCTATCTGATCAATTCGCCGGTCGTAAAAGCTGAGAATCTACGATTCAAAGAGGAGGGTGTTCGGGATATTATCAAGGACGTTCTTCTACCCTGGTACAACGCGTTTCGGTTTCTTGTACAGAATGTCGACCAATTTGAGAGAGAGACGGGAAAAAGATTTGTATTTGATGAAACAAATCTTTCTTTCTCCATCGATGGAATGGACAGATGGATTTTATCTTGCACCCATACGCTATTGGTTTTCGTGAAGAAAGAGATGAAAGAATACAGATTGTACACTGTAGTACCTTATTTAATAAAATACATAGACAATCTTACAAACTGGTACGTGAGAATGAACAGGAAGCGTTTCAAGAGCGAGGCGAACTTTAATGATCGTAAGGATGCGTTAAATACTCTATTCCTAGTTATTTACACAATGGTGCGAGTCTACGCACCATTTACGCCGTTTTTAACAGAATATATGTTCGATTGGTTGAAAAAGTGGTTGCGTATGGAGGATGACACCAGTGTACATTTTCAAATGTTCCCAAAACCACGTAAGGATTTGATAAACGTGAGGCAGGAGAAGGGTATATCACGCATGCAGACTGTCATCGAATTGGCGCGTATCGTGCGAGACAGGAAGACCATACCCACGAAATATCCCTTGCGGGAAATGGTAGTGATTCACCACGATGAAGATATGTTGACGGACATTCTTCTGCTAGAATGTGAAATATGTGAAGAACTCAATATCAAACGACTAACAGTCACTACCGATAAGGAGGAGTATGGTGTGACCTTAAGAGCCGAACCAGATCACAAGATCCTCGGTGCTCGCTTGAAAGGAGAATTCAAGCAGATTACGCAGGCCATTAGAGAACTATCAGACGAACAGTTGCAAAAGTTCGTCGACACGAAAGAAATTGTCGTGCAGGGTCATAAACTTGAAGAGCAGGATCTACGCTTGATGTTCAACTTTGCTGGTCCGACTGCTCAAGAATTATCGAAGCAATATGAAGCTCACAGTGAAGGAAGCTTACTAATCCTCCTAGACATCACTTTCGACGAGAAGCTATATAACGAAGGAATAGCGCGGGAAGTCATCAATCGAGTACAGAAGTTGCGGAAAAAGTCTAATCTTATACCATCTGATAAAGCTATCGTGTTTTACGGTATCGAGGACATGGATAGTACATTGGCCAAGGTGATCGTCAGCCACAAGGAATTTATCAAAAACACGACCAAAACTCCGTTAAAAGATATATCGGAGTTTTCTCAGAATACCGATTACGTTATTCTTTTTAGTGAAAGACAGACAATCAAAGAGGAAACAGTTACTTTGTCATTGGCTCGAACCGAAATGACTGAAGAGGATAAGAGCGTAAATGTGCGCCCTCACGTCTTCATTACACTCGTGGGTATAAAACCGAGATTCGATGCGGCATTCAATGGTCATAAAAGTCCTGTGAGAGTGTGGTTATGCGTTGATCATCTTGGTATTATCACACATGAACGTCTGAAACAGGAGATTGAGTTGATATTCGGTATTTATGATACTTCGTACGACTTGTATGTCAATAATAAGAAGTTTACTATAACGATGGACAATACGCCAGTAGATATAGACTTGTTAAATAAACAGACGATAAAAGTCGTCAAGCCAGGAATGTCATTGCCATCCGACGAAGAGCTATATAACGACGGACTGATGAGAGTTTCGTTATCAATGTGACAGATTGAAAGGGAAAGCAAAGCGGTAAATCTCATAAACAAAAATCGTTATTACTTTATAATATGTAAGTTCCTACAAAAGAGATAATGTTTTACAATATTACATCTTTAAATTAGGTGAAAGTTGAGTGAGATCTAAACTATTCAATTTTTTTCATCAATAAAAGTATTTATACTATAAAGCATTAGAAAATAATATTTATCTCTTAAGTTAACATTGCAACGTGTTCTTTCCTTTTGTTTATTTTATATACATAATGATTTAATATTTAAAATTTAACATTATTATGTATAATGCAGTCTTTTTCAATAAAAGTTATATTCATATTGATCATTTCGTAAATTAAAAAAATAAAAATTATAAAAATTGTATACATATTTTGAAGATTAATTCTTTTCCATAATTTTATTACATTTATTTTCCTATCTTGCATATCATGTTTGAATATTATAAAAAATAATTCGTGAATATACTGCAATATTATATTGTGTGAAAAAACATTAGCGAAAGTTAGATAATATAAACTTTAACAAGTTAGTATTTAAAAAAATGTTGGTTTATATTTATTTTAGAAAAGAAGGAGAGCATATGTAAGATAAAAGTATCAAATGAATAGATACATTTATTGGCATTTTAAAACAATCATAATATATAATTATTAATTTAATTTTAACAAATTATATGATACAGTAAGTAACAGAGATAATAGTATATTTCACCCATCTTCTTGTTATATCATATTCGAGATTTTAACCGTTTGCCATAAATATCCATTCAGTTTTCTTAGAAAAGGCTGATTTTATTGATGCATCCTTTCTCACATAAGAATTGTACAACATAAGAAAATATTGCATACTTCTAGCTTGCAATACTTTGATGTAGACCATAGGTAATGCAATATCCTTTTTTCCAAATTTATTATCCATGTAGAACTCAAATAATTTTTAGTGGTAACTGCAATCTTACGCATTATTATACATAACTATTTAATGATATCCACACAATACTTGAATATGTAAAATAATTTCATTAAACTCCGCGAATATAAAAACATTTATGATATATACTTGATGCTAATTGTCATTCACATAGCACCAACAATACAACGCACTACAAAAAGATCGAAGAAAATAATTAACTATATAAATAAATATATTTTTAGAATGTATATTTTTATATATAATATTCGTTCCTTTTATATTTAAAGTTAATTAAAATCATAATTAAGATTGAAATAAATAAATTAATGATTTGTCAATATTTAATGCTTATGTTTTCTTACTGAATAGTAAATTATCTTTTCAGAATTATATTTAGCAAAGAAAAATGACTTGCATAACTTACATTATGCAAGATATTTTTCTAATTATTGGAAAAATATAATACAAACAAGTAATATTTTTTGTGGAAAATACTTGTATATATAATATACACTTATTATATTGGAAATTTTCCACAAAAAAATGTCATTAATTTTTACGCGATAATTTAGCGCCTCCTATACTTCTATATAGAATGCGTAATTATTTTTGTAACCAGTTTAAATATAATCTGAAAGAAATTTATCTCAAATAGAAATGTGCATTGCACGTTATATTATATTCTGCAATCTCTTTTTAATTAAACCATTTATGGAGATACAAATCAAGATTACATTATCAACACCTATAAAAGTGGTAAAAATCAAATGATAGAGCAAATTCGTCTTTGTTAACGATAAATCTGATTTCGAAAATGTTACGCTAAAAGCAAATGCTCAGCGACTAAGATTGCTATTTGATTAATCAAATAGTAATCTCGTTAAACCAAGTGCATATGTAATATATGTTAAACCATTTTAAAGTGCTTTCATTAACATACACAACGTAATGATCGCCGTTTTATTCAACGTTTCGAATGTTATCTTGATCGGGAAAGAAATTACTAAATAGGGAGACAGTAAAGATAGCTGTTAGCGCGTAAAGTGCAAGCGTGGTTGTCGCAGTAAAGAGTTGAGCGTAATGGTACCGCGAGTACCACGCGAGACCTAAGACAATCGTCAGAATGCTTACTAAGAGACGACTTAGATCCCATTCGTTGTGCACCGAACTGAGACCCGTGCCGGTGGGCAGATCCGAGAACGGTTGAGAATTAAAATAGATGGACGACGAGTTATCTAATGTAGACGTCTGAGACGATGGTACAGTAGTCGGTCGTGGTTGATGCACCCAGCAATGGACCACGCAATCGTTGAATAAGCCGCATTGCTCAAGAGTTTGAGTGTCGGGCTGCAACACGCGGCCATTGAATACTAATCGCACTGATTTATGCGCTTCCAATTCCATTTGAAAATGCCTCCTGCAAAATCGAGATTATCGAATTAATTCTTTTGCATACTTTATGATGATTTTATAAATAATATAGGATGAATTATATATATATATATATATATAATATACATTTAAAAAATATATAATATACTAACTATATTATTCATATTAAAGTATCACAGATTGTTATAAAACGCAGTATAATACAAAATAAAATGCAATTCTTTAATAATAAAAACATAATATATATAAATTTATATTAAGTAATTACCTTTTAAAATCACCTAGCATTTCTTTAAGACTGCCAGTGACTAATTTCTGATCATCATTTATGAATTTCAATTTTATGGTGATTTCATTACTATCGCTTAGAGTCGAGTCTTCTGTTGTACATTCTGACGAACCACTGCAAGTGGTTTGGTCTAATGTATTTGTATCAGAATTATCTGCCTTAGCAGATCTTTGTAGCAGTGATGGGTCATCGTTATTGAATGAATCCATGGCTTCGATAAGTACCTCTTCTGTTGCCGTAGACTCCATCGGTCTAGCGACTTCTCGAGAAGTTTCACTAATATCTAATATATCACACAATATAAAAGAGATTCAACTATGCAAAGAAAAAAAGACACGGAAGAAATATTTACCCATGACAGATGCATTTGGACAGTTTGATTGCATACTATCATTATTATCCGAAGTTGTCTCAGTCGTTTCATCTTCTGTTGTTTCTAAATTCGGAGGCCGACCAACATCCTGGGGGCCAAGACTGCTTGTGTTTTGATGATTTGCTCTTATCGTCGCGATACGCGTCGGCGTCCGGTCACGCAATATAAGTACAGTGCGTATCAGTGGCTGATCCGCTATATTTGTCGAACACCAAGCAAGCCATCCAACCAGCAGTATACTCATGACAATGAAAAAGTCTGTGACTTCATCACCAACTCCCTCAATCAATGACATCTTACTCAAGATAGATCTGTCAAGATAATAATAATATTAATAAAATTGTCTGCATTACATTATGATAATATAAACAGATATTAATCAGCATCTGTTTAAATATTAGTCATAAGATGACATTATTGATAAAATTGCTCGACAATTACAATCATCATTAATATCAAAATTTTGGATACTTAAGACTTAAATTCCTTATTAGTATAAAATAGCAATTATTTTTGGCACATCTCATGATGTCTAATTATCACAAGCAATTAATAATAATGGAACAAAAAGATGTAGCGTACGTAGCAATAAAAATTCGTCAGCTGAGAGGTTATCTCGTCGAAAAACTTTGTTTGTCAACACAAAACGATGTTTCGAAGTAGACGCTGCTCCTTTCTCAGAAACGACGAACGATGCTTCATGACAATGCAATCCGACGATTCTAAGAGAAAACGCGTGATCTAAAGAAAAAAAAATTACGTCGCGTTCGTTAAATCGTCCCTTCGAGTGAACTCGTTCGACACGTCGTTTTAATCGACGAGAGAAACGTCGTCTCTTCGTTACGTATTGCTCTCAATGCTGTCGACGTATATCGCGAATGCAATAATGATTATTAACTGCGAGATGTTTGCGAAAATCCGATCGACAAACATCTGGAGATGACGTAGATAGTAGTTTGTGACAGATAGCGACTGAACCGACTGAACTGGTAAATAATTAATGTGCGATCGTCTTGCTCTATCTCTCTCTCTCTCTCTTTCTTTCTCTACTTGTGAAATTACCAACTTCGATTATCGCATTCGAATAAATTTTTTCCATCGCTATCTACATTGTAACAAACATGTTTTAGAAAGAAATCATATATCTATGACAAAAGTTTATCAATATTGGAAAAATCACCTCTGACATTTAATTCGAGGTTTATTTATATTGCACTCGACATAAACTTATACTATTATTTTGACGATAGTGAATTTTACTAGGCCGTCGTTATTGAAAAAATAAATCGTATTCAACATATATTTAAGATTACGATTCTCGGCGCGTATAATAGTTTAATTTGCATCTTTCTATTTTTAGCGGTTTCACTCAATAACTTTTGTGCTAGTAATCGCCATTATATAATCAATATACACATATCATATCATATTAACTTTCAACAGAAAAATATGAAATTCATGCATCATGAACATTCATGCAGGATCGGATTCAAAAGATCGGGGAACGCGCGCATACCCACCACAAAATTTTAATCGTTAGTTTTTAGAAACACTTTTCAATTAATGTCGATTGAGTTTAACATACGGAATTTGTATGTATCATTTTAAACTTAATTATCTTTTTCTAAAGTGTGCAAAAAATGTAGGCGAACTGAAATCCGAAAATAAGATCTTTAAGTCCTTTTGTTGCAGTAAAAACGCATTTATACATCTTCATAATTTCCTCATAAGACTTTATTCATATAGTCGTCATAAATCTTGAGAAGAGAAACGGGTGTTCTAGGAGTGACGGTTTTGAATGCGGCTATGAAATGTTCCTTAATAACAACAGTGGCGTCAAGATCCTCTTCTAACGCTTTCATGGCGGCTTCGTGACATATCGCTTGGATTTCTGCACCGGTGTAACCTTCCGTTAGAGAAACCAGATCCGCGATATTTACTTCATCCGCGATCGGCATATTTCGCAATTTTATGTTGAATATTTCTCGTCTGGTTTCTTCATCCGGTAATCCGACGTATATTATACGGTCTAATCGTCCAGGTCGGAGAAGTGCCTGATAAAATTATCGTTGACGTAATATCATTGTCACAATCATAATATTATAGATAACAAAATATTAGATAACATTGTTATTATCAGATAAAATAATGATGATAGCGCGCGATTATTGTTATAATATAAATATAGCCAATTAGATAAAAGAAAATTTTATACTATAGATAAAAAGAAAATAACTCAGAGAGATAATAAAATATTTCATATTGAGAAGTATTGACAGAAATTTTCTTTCAAAAAATGCTGATTCTCAGAATCAATTATACTACTCCAATTATATGCGTTAATCAATGATATATAGGGAAAATTACTTTGTCAATTTTATCCGGTCGATTAGTAGCCGCTACTAATGTGACGCTTCCCAGAGTAATGACACCGTCGAGTTCAGTCAATAATTGAGCCAGCACTCGTTCCTGCACGTTGCTGCCGCTACCATTGGAAGAAGAACTTCTCTCACTACCTAATGCATCTATTTCGTCAATAAATATGATAGACGGTGCTACCTGTCTCGCCTTTCGGAATACTTCTCTTACAGCTTTTTCGGATTCGCCGACCCATTTCGAAAATAACTCTGGACCCTACAAACAATTTTACCATGCAGTAACGGAAATATAATCAGCATTAAATAACTTACCTTAATATTGAGGAAATTTACTTTACTCTCGGTAGCGAGAGCTTTCGCGATCATAGTTTTCGAACATCCTGGCGGTCCGAACATTAAAACACCTCTAGGAGGTGTAATACCCATTCTTACAAATGCTTCAGGATGTTTTAGCGGCCACTCAACAGCTTGTTTTAATTTTAGTTTCAAGTCCTTCTGTCCACCGATATCTGACCATCTTACATTTGATACTTCCACCAAAACTTCCTTCATAGCTGAAGGTTTTGTTGTAATCAAAGCATGATGAAAATCAATCATAGTTATCTTTGGTTCATTGTTGAACATAGTCTTGTCTTTTTGCTGACGTTTCACTGTATTAATTATCGCTTTCGAACACAAACCATATAAATCTGCACCAACGAAACCATGAGTGACAAATGAGATGTTCTGTATATCCTCATGTAAAAGTGTATTAGGGATCTTTGAAAGTAATTTTATCAGTATTTCTGTTCGCATGTTTGGAGTTGGTACATAAATTTCGAATTCCATGTCCAATCTGCCAGGTCTTCTCAGAGAACTATCTACGAAATCTAATTTCGTGGTTGTAGCCATTATTAATATATCACTGTTGGTACTTTGTAGATCATCAAAAAGTGTTATTAGTTGAGCAAGAACTCTCCTCTCATGATCTGTGCTGGAGTTACTTCTCTTGGGACACAAATTGTCTATGTCTTCCAATAATATTATACTAGGAATATTTGACATTGCTTTGTTGAATATCTCTTTGAGTTTATTTTCTGTTTCACCGATAGACTTGCTGTAGATATCTGAACTATACACAACAAATGTGTTAACGTTACATTCTGAAATTATAGCATTGGCTATCATGGATTTACCAACACCAGTGGGACCATATAACAATATTCCTTTACTTACACCAAAGTGCTCTATGCTTCTGTATTTGCCAATACCTATTGTAACTACATCTTTTATATCGGATATGAGAGCACTGTATCCTCCTATATCTTCGATTCTATATTTCTTTTTTGGGATACTATTTCCATCTTTTGCAATATTCAAAACTGTCCATTTTGTTGTATACAATGCTTTATAAAAAGTTATTTTTGTTTGAGTAGTTGTCAGATTTATGTTTTTAAAAGCTTCTGATAAATCATTTCCATCTAATGTTTCAGTTTGCTCTTTCTGGATTTCATCTGTTCTGATTTGAACAATTTTATATACCATCTTCTTTCCGTAGTATGGAACGCTTATTCTATTGCCAATAGCAAATATTTTGTGCTCGTTAAAATATTTTACAATATTATCAAGTTCTGCACTTATGTTAGACATTAAATGTTTTCCCAATTGATTCACTACAATCTCTTTAGCAATATAGATATCAGATTTTAACAAATATACTTTTACTAATCCCACAAGATTATTTAACTCAATGGCTGTAAATAATAAAAGAGAAAAATTAGTTTTCTTAATTTCTTCAAACTTAATAAATAAATGAATTTGGTATATTTACCATGTTTTGTTAAAGAGACACTTGTCAAACTTTTCTCATTAGTTGGCCAAGCTGTTTTAACTACTACCTCATCTTTGGTCACAATAACAGTCGGTGATCCAATAGCAATATCGCATAGTTGAAAAGCAGACTGTGATATAAACACCATATCATTAGCATCCCTCTCAGAAATATGTTTGGGTAATTCTACGAGATACATGATTGTGGACTAAAGAGATATGCAAATAAAAATTACAATTACAATTAAACAGCTATATACCTTGTGATTGGAAAATTTCTATCGTGCTGTATAAAACCCCATTAGATATAAAAGAATGGTTCCAACTTTCCGTGGAAGGTGGACAGTTTGCTTCGTGCAATAAAATATCTTTCTGGGTCAAAGCACATTGACACTTGTCGCACTGTTGCCACGACGACGATGTCAAACTTTTTCTCGATTTAGTAGACATTCTGCAAATATAACATATTGATTAAAGAACATCATGTTCTTATATACATACAGTAATTTATTAAAGTAAACATTTAGTTCAATCCGTTAAATTTTAGTAAAAACACTCTTCTATATCTTTTTAAACAAAAATAAAAATTTGCGAACTAAAAGTCGTTGTTTGAAATTATAAAGAAAGTTTAATTTCCAATATAATTAAAATTCCACTAAAATGTCAAAAAATTACAAATTTTCTAACCTTCAAAAACCACACTTTTAACGGCTTATAACTTTCTTTATAGTAAATTAAAGAATTTCTCCTTTTGGAATCTTTATTTATATATAAAAAAAGACTGCAAATGGGAGAATTTTTATCAAAATCTCAGAAGTAGAAAATTTATTTTAATACGCTCATTAAAAGGTTAAGTTCTTCTTCTTCTTCTTTTTATGGCTGGTCTGAATGTTTGGACAGCTATTCAATCCGAGACCCAAATCCACATCTACTGGAGGATTGGACTGGTGGCTATGGTATTTAAATTCCAAGTATCCAGGAAGATTGAATGCTTCGATCTGATTGAAAAGGTGTTGATGTGTCTTGAATGTATTGGTTAACGACTCTAGATTGTAGTATTGGTCATTAGCTGGATCATGAGCGATTTGCTCTAAGGTGCGATGCAATGGGTGAGTAGTGCGAGCTTTGATTTTACAAATAAGTTTTTCTGTGAGGAGTTGCCATCTGGAGGCCAAAGGCTGTTCTCCGTTAATATCCAATAGTACATTGGTAGGTGTCATACACATCATACCGGTGACAGTTCTAAGAGCGGCATACTGCAGTCTAGAGGTCTTAAGGTAGAGTGCTTCATCAAGAGGGTGGAACACTTGGCAGCCCCAATCAAGCAGAGGTCTGATGAATCCTTTATATATGGTGAGTAGTGTATTTGGATGGGCTCCCCATTTGATGCCTGAGATCGCTTTAAGAATGTTGATCCTGGGAATGGTCCTGTTTTTTAGTTTGTTGATATGAGCTCTCCATTTTAATTCCGAATCGAGGTAAATCCCCAGAAAACGAGGCGACCAGGAAATTGGAATGTTAGTGTTGTCTAATTTGAGGAAAAAATTGTTGTTCCTAAGTAATACACGAAGATTCCTCGGTTTCATAGACGAGAAAATGGTGTAAGCTGATTTCTCAGGGGCGATCTTTAGACCAAGACGTCCGAAAAACACCTTCAGACTTTCGACAGCCACGCCGAGTTGATCCTTTATTGAATCCAAGCTGTTATCCATGTAATATATGGCAATATCATCCGCGTACATTAGTATTTTCATATGCTCTGGAAAGCAAGAATGAGCCAATGCTACGTATATATTGAACAGAGTAGGACTGAGAATGGAACCCTGTGACAATCCTCGGTCGGTACTTCTAGTTTGAAGAGGGATACCAGCTGCGTATCCTGTAAGGTTTCGGTTGGTGGTGGTTTTCTTGATAAAACTTATGATCTTCTGAGGAAGGCCAAATTTCTCAAGTAGAATTAAAAGGGCTTCTGGTAATACGTTGTCAAAAGCGCCGACCAGGTCCAAAAAGACGACTCCGGTGAATTTACGGTGTCTGTTAGCCAAATGGATATCAGTAATGAGAGTAGCCACATTATCCATGCAGGAGAGACCTCTACGAAATCCGAATTGATGTTGTGATAATACCTTGTTGTTTTCGGCCCACCACTCAAGGCGTTTTAGGATTAATTTTTCAAAGATTTAATGTTGATTATTTGCGAGGGATATAGGTCTTAATGCCTTTTTTCCACCAGGTTTTGGAATAAAGACCGTGAAGTAGTTGTTCCATTGCGATGGATATGACCCTTTATTAAAAAAACAGTTGAAAATTTTGAGAATCAACTTGTAGGGGTACCCCGTGAGGTGGACGAGTCCAACCCTGATCCACACCAGGGCCCGGATCCGGATCAATACCCTGCATGAGAGCGGTGGCCTCTTTTTGAGTGATTTATTATAGGCCATGAGTTTTTTAATATCTCTTTGATTTCTAAAGACTGGACACTTATTGTCCGAAGCTTCGTGTTCAGTGTCGAGAAGCTTATGCCTCTTGCAATTGATGCAACACGGAGAGACTTTATCGCAGGTATCTCCATTGTGTGAAGAAGAAAGCAAACCACATCTATGGCAAATAGCATTAGTGTCAGGAGTGCGACAAATTTTTATATTGTGTCCGTATCTCTGACATCTGTGACAGCGCACAACTCTTTGTATAAATGGTTCAAGAGTAATCCTTTTTCCCATGTATATAATACTAGGAGGAGGAGTAGTAGTTCTGAAACGAAAGATATATGAATCTGTTTCAATATATTTTGTCTCCAATACGTTATCTTTATTTTTAGAGCGAATAGCTCTTTTCAGTCTTGAGACTTCAAAGGGAGGGATCCACATAACTTCCCAACCGGGAGGGGGGCGAACATTCGCCAGTATTTCCTCTGGTGAGTCGTCGTCGTCGATGCCTCTTACAACGAATTGTTTAATGACTTTAAAATTAAGGAATATAAGCTAACCATTTTTCACCGGGAAAAGTAAGGTTAATACGTTTATTGAAAGATTCTCTCTCTATAAACCTGTTGGCAGTAGTCGTCAGCGAAAAGGACAGAAAATTTATTACTCCCGATAGTTTTAAGATCAAAAGCGTTTTTGAATGTCTCAATAAACTTTGTAATGCGCTTACCAAAAGCGATGATACCATAAATACCTGAAGGAGATTTTTTTCCCTTCCTATTAGCTTTGTCTATATGATCATCCGCATTGTTGATGTCCATAGTGTCGGATGTTTTTTCAGATGTGCTTTTGCTGGAGTTGGCCGAGTTAGAGTTTGGATCAAACTGTTCCCCGGCTGAGCTCTGCACCTCGGAAGACGGAATGGACGAAGAGCGAGAAGAGGCGATTTTTTCAATATATACTATATAAGGCGCCTTAGAATCAAGCGTATATTTATTGTTTGTGCGGGGGTCCATCTTTTCAAGAGCTTTTACTGGAGTTGGCCGAGTTAGAGTTTGAATCAAACTGTTCCACGGCTGAGCTCTGCACCTCAGAAGACGGAATGGACGAAGAGAGAGAAGAGGCGATTTTTTCGATATATACTACATAAGGCGCCTTAGAGTCAAGCGTATATTTATTGTTTGAGCGGGGGTCCATCTTTTCAATGGAGAGCCTTTTAATCGTTTTTGACAAATACTCGTGAGAAGAGTCAGAAGACATTGTCCTTTTTGCCCGAATTATACTGCGAATCTGAGATTCAACTGATTCAACAGGTTTGACTGGCTCAATATTAGTCTGTAGTAAATGGTTATTGTCAGGAAGAGGGGAGTTGATAGGATCTTCAGGCTCGTATTCCATTTTGACTATCAATCAGTCAATCAAGGTATCACGAGGATCCAAAAGTGAGGAGTATATGAAAATTCTTTCTTTCCAGAGAAAGACTCTAGATATGGCAATATGTCCGACCAACTGGTCGAAGCACAAAGGACACAATGAAAGTGTCACTAAATAAGCGGAACGTCCGCTAAAAACGGGAAGATTATACTTTCCCGATCACCACTAATGAATTTACACTTACTATAATTAGTAACAAAATTCACAACTCAATTCAAAGGAAATAATCTTTGAAAATTCAAAAAAAGGTTAAGTTAGACTTATAATCATAGACATAGTATATCTAGACCATAGACATAGTATATCTACACCGAGTGTTGAAGAGTGGGAGCCGAGGTGCACGTAGAAAAGGACATACTCTGTTTCGTGCCCCTTGCGTTCTCTCTCGCTCGCATGTAGCATAGCGAAAGAGAGCGCTATGCTCTGTGCGAGCGAGAAAGAACGCAAGTGGCACGAAATAGAGTATGTCCTTTTCTACGTGGGCATCGGCCCCCACTCCTCAACACTCGGTCTAGATATACTATGGCCGGTATTCATAGTCCGTTCTTATATCCAAGATCGTCTTAAGTGTGGTCTTGGGTCGTCTTAAGATCCCATTCAACCAATGAAATGGCCGCATAGTATCTTAAGATCGTACTTAAGACGATCTTGAATATAAGAACGGACAAAAAAACAAATGGTTGATAACTTCAATTGTATTGAAGTGATTGAATATGATGTGGTTAATTAAATCTAAAAAGCAGAATATTTATGAATATTCTTAAACCCCAGACATTCATAATTACCCCGGACACATTCGAAAAATCCCCCCGGACGTCCCCGGATGCCCTAAAAAAGAGGACGGTGTCCGGGGAAAAGAGAACGTATGGCAACCCTACGTGCAAGTGTATTTTTTGAATAATATTTTATTTTCTTTTTTTTGCTGTCTCTATTATTTCATGTAATATATTTTCCATATAGCATAATTATTTATGTAATATATTGTATATTAACATAATTATGTTTACTTTTTCATTATTTTTTTTTCCTTTTTCAAATATATTATTAACAATTTATCTGTATATATTTTTTATTAAAATACATTATTTTGGATTATTATTTATTGCTACATTATGTATTGAGTTAGAGACAGAAAGATAAACGAGAGTGAGCGAGAGAAAAGTTCAGATGGCGTTACCGACCAACTTACTTATTTCGCGCATGCGCACTCCGTTTTGGCCAACACTAACATCAAAAGTGCCGACAGGGAGTTGCGCTACTGTATATACTGTGCCAGTAACGTCAGTCGGAAAAGATAGGCTATGTATATATATATATATATATATATATAAAGTAATATAATATTCCTTTTTATATCGAATTACGACATTTAATTTGGAGCATATTCAACTTGTGCAGCTATACTTTTTAATCATAGGACGTATAGTGCAGTAATCTATGAATTTAGGCGTATTCAACAGAGTTAATCTCAAGGTATTTATAATTAAATAGATATTTATAATTAAAAATTGAACTATATCCGATATTAATTATTATATTTAGTTTTAGTTATGGAATTATAGGAAAGAGAGGGAGAGAGAAACTTTTCTTATTGTTATGTATTATTTTTACTGTTACAAACATAGAAAAAGATATTCATATATGGATATATCTATTTTCAGGACTCCCAAGGAGGAATGTATTCAGAATGGGCTTCACTGAGCACTCTGATCCAGCAAGGTTCGGAGGAGAGCCAAAGCGTACTCGAGAAATTTCCGCCTGGCGCGGGAAAAGAAGTCGCATTGTCCATAGTACGCCAACTTGCTGCAAATCTCGGTATCACTCAAGCGGCAGAGCCTAGTCCACTCTCGACCGACAAAGAAGTCCAATGGTGTATGGAAGTGATATGCTTTGGATTGTCATTACCGTTGGCTGAACACGACACTGTCAGAGATTGCGTGAACATATATTGCGAGTGGCTGTCAGCATTATACTCTACGCCAAAAATTTCTGTACCCAGACCAATCATAGATGATTCAAATTTTTATGCCAGAAGAATCATAAGTCATTTTCACAATTTATTCGTACCGAGAAAAGGAGAAGGTAGGGCAAGACTCGTTTTTATCTATTACTTGTCAATCTATTGCTAATAATCTTTTTTGATAATGTTTATTTTCTTTCTCAAAGTCTGGCCTTTTTTGTATCAGGATCTAGGTAATTTGTGATGATATCAAATGTACTTTTTCTTCAACACTTATTTGTATTAATGCACACATTTGCTATAGAATGGCTTATTAATATCTATAATATTAAATATATCTTCCAACAAATCTTTTTAGGTACAGATACGATAAATCGACAAGCTGTGCTATGCCATCGAGTGCTTAGAACTTTGCAGCAAATTGCGAGAGGTCCAGCAATTTTAGAAAGAGAAACATGGGAAAGTCTATTATTATTTCTCATTGGTATTAACGATGCGTTATTAGCACCACCGGCAACTAGAGAAGATGCAGGAGAACAACTGTGTGAAAGAGTGCTTGGTGTATTATTAGAGGTGCATAAATGTACAACAAAATAAGACTAGCAATTAGACTAAAGTAATTTATGCAAAACAATTTTTTTTTAGGTGTGGCTGGTTTCCTGTGAACGCAATTTTCCTTCGCCACCTTTATGGCGTACGTTACGAGAATCCTGTTTGCGGTGGCGTCACAGATTAGCTCTAGTAGAACAATGGAATCGTGTATGTCTTGCTCTTACAGCGAGATTGCTACAAATCATGTATGGAGCAATGTTTCCCGAATTGAAAATAAGTATGTATCTTACATAGACTGGTTTTTTGCATCAAACAAACAACTTTGATTAATATAATAATAGCTTGGACATTATTTGCAATATATAATATGTTATTACAAACAAAATCCTATTTTTTTAGGTGAGGAAGATATACAATTAGTACCGCCTACTATGTCGGATGAAGCGGTAGCACAAGCGTGGTACAGACTGCTCCGTACTATTGGCGATCCCGTAGATTTATGTAGACCCGCTGTTGTCTCGCAAACACAAGCATTTCTGCAATATGCTATCGCCAGTCCTAACGTTATAGATCCGTGTCAACACCCATGTCTGCAAAGTTTACCGCAAATATTTTTGAAAGCTATAAAAGGCATAGCAGGTCAAGTCGATGCTTTTCTCGGTAAGTTATATATCTCGATTAAATATTAAAGTAATATAAAAATTCATAATCTATTTCAAAGAAACAAACTTGTAAATTATACACAATGGCAAGATGGTATCGAATACCTATTTATAAAATTTGTTTCCATAAAACTTGCACACATACACGCGTACTGTCGGCTTGTCACGTATCATCATGGTGGCGGTTGCACATTGTCGCGAATATTTTTTAGGAGTTTCACAGGCATGCTGTTGGGAAGAATGTTGCGTGTCCAACATTACGTCGGGGAATAGCGGTATCGGCGGCGGGGGTGTCGGATGGGACAGGTCGAGCGGCAAGGAACAACCTCAACCTTCCCCCACACCCCCGACTCAACGCAGACTTGCCAAAAGTTTCAGTGTCACTCCTTCTGCAGTCACTAAGGGTATCTCAATGCAATACTTTCTTTCGCTGATATATCTCTGATAGTATATTGCTCAATCAATTTTACTTGGTTGTCTTTTCTGCAACGATCTAAAGCTAAAATTACTGTAACAATAGCACCCGTTTTGTATCATAATCTTTTCTTCATACTATAAGTTCTATATTTTGTATTATATTATATATTATTATTAGGTTTTACTTTAAGAGTTAATGTTAGAGTCTTTAAGTCAATTTAGATTTTAATATTCCATTTATTACTAGAACGAAATATTCTATATATATGTATACACGCACATAAATATTTTACAGGAATTCCGAAAGCGTCTTTAATTGGATTAACGACAAGCCGGGTATCTAGTACACCGCCAATGTTAATATCAAATTCCGGACCATCGTCCGCTTCGAGTACAGCATGTAATTTTAATTTCATAACTTTACACACACACACACACACACACAATTACATTACAAAAATATTTCTCCTTACTCACATAACTATAATTTATAGCTATGACCTCACTTGGCCAAGATATTAGACCTCCTTTAGCACCAGGACGTCCCAAGTGTAACAGTATACTGCATCTTTTCGGGGAATGGTTATTCGAAGCTGCCTTTATAGGTACCGATGGTTGGTCGCAGAACTTACCGCGTAAATATTCAATTGTATATATATAAAATACAAAAATTATTTTATGTAAAATTCTGCGATTATATAATTGTATCACGTCGGGTTAGAACCGTCGGGTGCTTCAAAACGTCCATCCTCGGTACTCGTGGACGGGCCGAGTTCGTTACAGGAAACTGTGAGTGACGTACCATCGACACTTTGCATTGATCGCTACGAGTCTGGTAGAGCGGAGGCATTGGGTGCTCTGTGCAGAATTTTCTGCGCTAAGAAAACAGGCGAGGAAATCTTACCTGTGTATTTGGCTAGATTCTATCAGGCCATGTATCACGGCCTCAAGGTTGATGAGGTATATGAGCTCTTTTTCGTTTTTTTGTAAATGGATTTAGAAAGATAGTGGTACAATTCAAATTTTTTTTTTAGACCCGCGAATGTGGCGAAACGTTAGCGAGTATTTTGCTGAATTCAGCTGACTTGTTTCGTCTCGATTTGAACGGTGTACAAGTTTTGGTGCCAGCCGTGTTATCCGCCCTGGAAGTGGTTCTGCCGGACAAAGATTTGAAGCTAAGATCTAATGTAGTCTCGAAACCGGATTTGAGAAGGGCTTCAATACATTTGTTGATATCGATGTTAACATTGCCCCTGCACTTTCAGGTAGATCAAAATGTAATTTATTGAATACAGATTGCATTGTTGAAACTTATTAGGTTCAGCGTGATTGCATTGTCACATGAAGAGATCAACGTTTGAATCTCTCGTTTTTACAGAATCTTGCCATTAAGGAACTTCCCACATTTCCGAGCACAAATTCTTTCGAGAGAACTCCTGTAACATTTGTACAGTTGAAATCAAGGCTCATGAATTTACTCATAAATGCTTTGCAAGTAGAGACTGATCCTCAAAATACACACATGTTGTTGGGTAAGTTAATAAAGAATTGAGATTGTTTATCTCTCGCCTCTTGCGTTCTCTCAATATACTCTGTGTGTGTGTGTGTGTGTGTGTGTTATTGATATTTATAATCTTTTAATTAAAGAAGAATAAATGTAATACAAATAATTTTTAGGAGCTTTGTTACTGAGTGTGCAAGATTCTGCAGCAGCGGAAGAAGTAGAGCAGGTCACGCAACCTGATACAGTAGCTAATGATTCGACATCTAATTTATTATCTTCAGGTTTGTTTTTGATTCTTAATGATTAGCTTGCGTTTGATTAAATGCACTGTTCTGAGTTATTTAGTGTTAATTCTCCTGTTTATGTCCAGATTTTATAAATGACCACATGACCATAGGCGTTATTTTTTATGTCCATATCGAAAAGAGAGAAAATAGTATAATTATTGTTTCATTTTTTACATTATTTTAGGACATAAATATGAAGAATCTTCTTTGTCAACAGTGTTTATAAAGAATATAAAAAATTCAACGATATAATAAAAATAATTTGTCAATCTAAAGAAATAATTTTATTATTTTTTAAAATATGAAATAAGAAACATACTGTAATGAAATTTGATAAAATTATTTCATTAATGCTTATGATCATGATGGGCTTCTTTCTGATGCCAATAAAGTAGCAATATCTCTGTATGCTGCTACTTTGTTTAATACAGCAATTTCTCATTAACATTTATCAATAGCTTAATAAATGGGGGTAAATAAGTATGTGAGGACGCAAATATTCGAATTACATTGCTTAAGATATCACCTCTCATTGTATCAGCTTTACACATGCTTATATATGAAATGTTAATTTTTTATCGTTACTTCGAGTTGTGTTCTGTTGTGCATTTTGCTATTGTACTGTCTTATCATCGCTTAATATAGTCACCAGCAATTCAGCCAGTCAAATAAGTATATCCAGCGATCAGCGATCAATTGGCGATGCCTCTGACATTGCAACTCTTCAAGAGGAATGCATTGCATTCGGTAAATACAAATATTATTTATCTTGCTACACATGCTCATAAAAATCGCATTGGAAGACATTTAGAGTATGAGTATTTCATTTCTATTTGTCGTCTATGTTTTGCATTGTTATATTCAAAGTTACAAAAGGATATGTAGGATTTTTTACAATTATAAGTGTATAGTTTTGTGTAAGATACATTTGTATATATACAAAACACACATGTACTAAATGCATAATTATTTTCTGTAGACTTAACGATTAAATGAAGGTGATATTTTTGTAGATTCTGCCCATGCTCTCTTTGTACGAGCAACGTACTTAGTGTGTCATCGTTTGATTTCGTCGTGGAAGATTGATCTAAATATCTCTTTAGCAGCATTAGAAATGCTATCGGGATTAGCACGCACACGCATTCGCGAAACAGGTAATAAGACTAAGGTACACAAAGAATCATATATATTTCAGACTTTAACAATATATTTATATGTATTATATTTTATATAACAAGTATGATACTTATCTCCATCTTGTTTTTAATAATTCTGCATGCAGCAAGGAAACTTACAGGTTCGATATCAGTTAAGAATTGACAGATCTAATAAAACTCGCTTGAAAGCGCACATCAAAGCATTGTGTTTGTCGCAGATGCTCTGGAATGCAAGAGGGCGGTAAAATGGTTGTGCGACTATATTTCATATCAATGTTGGCGTCCACCACCCGCACATTCTAAGGATCTTCATTCTTCTATCGTCGCAGCATTCAATTGCTTAACAACTTGGTTAACTGCTCATCCACAATTATTACAGGTTAATGATTATTCTTAAGAACTGATTTATATTAGAAATTTTTTCATGTGATATTTTCTACATTTGTTATGTTCTTTTTTTGTATTAAAGGACAAGGACTGTTTGACTACAGTATTAGAAGTCGTTGAGCTTGGAGTGTCCGGCACTAAGAGCGACCCATCAAAATGAAGGACGAAAAGGAATTAAAACCTGCATCTATGCGCGTAAGAGATGCCGCTGATGCGCTTCTCACTATTTTATTGGAACAGGTTTGTTCAAAATACAAGAGATATTTAAATCTATGACAATGTGAATTAATTTGAAAGAGATAAGAAACTTGTAAAAATATTATTCTTATATATTATTCTTTTAATATTATTCTAAAAATGAATTTTCTTCCTTTTCCATTAGGTTGGCTATTTTCCGAGCGCTTGCGGAGCGCAATCACTCTCGTCGCTATTGGATGAAGTGTCTTTGCTTCGACATTGCAACAGCTGGACCGGCGGACGCGTGGCACGACAAGCAGCAGTCGAGAGATTTCGTTATTTTGTGTCTGAGAACGCGATCGTGTTGGCCTTATTGGAGGAGCCTCTGGGAAACGATCAGGATCCCCAACCGACGGTGACAGTCCTGATCCGCGGACCGTTCGGTAGACACGCGTGGACGATGCAGCTCCGTCATTTGCCGCGTCATCGATCCAGCATCAGAAGTATAAACAGCAATCCCGGACGACCTTTACCGTTGGCGGAAGCCGCACCGCGAACAGATTATAAACCGAGATTTTTTCCGGATAACGTGGATCGTATTCCTCACTGTAAAGTGTAAGTGGCTTGTTTACATCAGGTAGTAAAACAGGACTCGGACTTTATATTCTTTAATTACATTTAAATTAAGGCTGCAAATATCCGAATAGACGTATCTCCTTCAATCTAATTCAAATAAACACAAAGATATAAAATTTCTGAAATTATATATTTTCTGAAGTTTGGAATCGCGCTTTAATCGGAACAATATTTAATAATCTTTGCATAATCTTCGCATGACAGGGATGAATCGATACCGAGTCTCGAGGCAGTTATGAGCGATAATAATGCGGTACGAGATGAGCATCAAATTCTCGCACAGCTTTTAGAACGTCAAATAACACTCGAATCGAAAAATAACAATAGTAATGTCAAGACCATGGAAGACAAAACTGACGAATGTGTACCGCCCCAAGTCTGTCACGAATTCCAAACAGCCCGTCTATTTCTGAGCCATTTCGGTTTTTTAAATATGGAACCTAAAGAGAACGAGGATTCCAGAAGCAGCGGGCTCATCGCTCTAGATCCAACCATTCCCGGATTCTGCACAGATTTAGAAACATTGGACAATATTAGTCCACGTACATGCGACACCGTTCATATCTTTTACGTAAAAACGGGTCAAAAATCTGCCTCCGAAATATTGTTAAATGTGGTAAGATATCTTTCCTGATTTTTTCTTATATTAATCATATTTTATTATAATTTATTTGTTTTGCATAATGTTACTTTAATGATTCAATTTTCAAAAACCGATTGTTTTTGTTATCTGTTAAATATTGTATTAAATATTGTCTTTGAGAGGAACGATATAATGTATCTATTAGAAAAAAATGTAAAATTTTTATACATATCTGCTCTTGCATTTATAGCTGCACGAAGAAAGTGTATCGTCAAACTTCTTGGAATTTTTGAGCTCTCTCGGTTGGCCCGTTTCTGTATCTGCTCACGCAGGCTGGACGGGTCATGTGTCCACTTCGTGGAGAGTAACTGCACAAGTGAACGTACCACAACCAGCTCATAGCAATCACGGCGGGGCGTTTTATAACGGTGACACTCATGTGCTGTACTGGGCGGATGTGAGTTCAGAAATTGCATTCGTTGTGCCTACACAATCGTATCTTATAGCCAGCTCGGATTCATTAGAGGAAACCAGTTATAACAGCGATACTAGTAGTAGTGGACAAGGTAAATTTTGAATATAGAAGATACTAAAAAAGTAGTCTTTTGTAGG